GTCAGGAAAAGATGATTGTGTAGTCTGTATGTTGGTTTGTTGTTTGGGGAAGAGAGATGGAGTTCAGCTGTAAGGTACGCTGGACTTCTGGTGTTTCTGAGAAACTGAAAAGGTGATATCAGGGTAGGCAATTAGATAAACAAATCTGGAGCTTTAACAGAAATAAAAACTGAGTCACAGGCTTATGAGAGATAATCAAGCCATGGGTGCGAATGAGACTTCCAGGGAGAGAGTGGAGCTTGAGAAAAAAATGAAGGTCCAGCGTACAGAGCCTTTAGAAACTCCAAACTCTGATAACTAGTAGAAGACGGAGACCTTGAGTGAGATGGAGAAGAAACTGCATGAGACTGAAAGGAATCAGGGGCGTGTGATGTTTCAGAAGCCACGTAAGAGTATTGTAAGGAAGGTACAGACTACCACTAGATAATCTAGCAAGAAAAAGGCTGAAGATGAACTTGATTTTGTAAGGAAGAAAGATCACTGTTGACCTTTCAAAAAAGTAGCTGATTCAAATGGTATTTACATAGATGAAGCCCTTTCTAAAACACAATCATCCAGAAGTACAATATAAAAAAGAAATAAATCAGGGCTGTCATGATATAAACAGAATGCATATAAACAAAACATGTAAACAGAATGCTTACGTAGTAACCTATACTTGTACATGGTCCCCCACAGAAACCCAGAACTTCATGTTTTGAAACCAGTGGGCTTAGAAGTGATAATCCTTTTAGAAGTACCTTTTCAGCTTCGACTTTCTATAATTCTATAAATACAATTTAACCTACTTATTTTAAAAATTGAGACTTTCCTGATAATTAATGACTGCTGTGTTTTAGTGAATACCAGATACCGATACACTTCTTTATAAATACAAAGAAATATCCTAGTATTGAGTTGCTTGAGCTGCTTGAAATATTCTGGAAATTAATCCTTTGTCAGTTGTTTCATTTGCTATTACTTTCTCCCATCCTGAGGGCTGTCTTTTCCTTTGCTTATAGTTTCCTTTGCTGTGCAAAAGCTTTTAAGTTTAATCAGGTCCCATTTGTTTACTTTTGTTTTTATTTTCGTTACTCTAGGAGGTGGGTCATTGAAGATCTTGCTTTGAGTGTCCTGCCTGTGTTTTCCTCTGATGGTTTTATGGTTTCTGATCTTACATTTAGGTCTTTAATCCATTTTGAGTTTATCTTCTTGTATGGTGTTAGAAAGTGCTCTAATTTCATTCTTTTACATGGAGCTGTCCAGTTTTCTCAGCACCATTTACTGAAGAGGCTATCTTTGCCCCATTGTATATTCTTGCCTCCTTTGTCAAAAATAAGGTACCCATAGGTGCATGGCTTTCTATCTTGTTCCACTGGTCTATATTTCTGCTTTTATGCCAACACCACACTGTCTTGATGACTGTAGCTTTGTAATGTAATCTGAAGCCACTGTTCATTGCAGCACTATTTACAATAGCTAGAACATGGAAGCCACATAGATGTCCATTGACAGATGAATGGATAAATAAGTTGTGGTACATATACACAATGGAATATTATTCAGCCATAAAAAGGAACACTTTTGAGTCAGTTCTGATGAGGTGGATGAACACAGAACCTGTTATACAGAGTGAAGTAAGTCAGAAAGTGAAAGATAAGTATTGTATTCTAATGCACATATATGGAATCTAGAAAAACGGTACTGAAGAATTTATTTACAGGGTGACAATGGAGAAACAGACATAGAGGAAAGACTTACAGACATGGGGAGAAGGGAGGAGAGGGTGAGATGTATGCAGAGTAACATGGAAACTTACATCACCACATGTAAAACAGAGAGCCAACAGGAATTTGCTGTGTGGGTCAGGGAACTCAAAGAGGGGCTCTGTATCAACCTACAGGGGAAGGAATGGGAGGGAGAGGGGAAGGTTCAAAAGGGAGAGGATATATGTGTGACTATGGCTGATTCATGTTGAGGTTTGACAGAAAACAATAAAATTCTGTAAAGCAATTATCCCTCACTAAAAAATTAATTAAAAAAAAAAGAAATATCCTAAGCTTTATTTTCCTCAATATACCATCAATTAGGTTTACTTGTCTTCTTTCTAATAAAAGTTATAAACTAAGTGCAATACTGGATGTATTATAAGGTTATGTCTCTGAAAAACAGAACATTAAATCAAAACATGAATGAACTTTCTTCTAAGCTGGTGCTTGGGGTTTCACCCTCTACAAAATCATCACTTTAATATAGGTACCTCTGTCAGTCTTCTTCAATATTTTGCCAGGATGTTTTTTTAGCACTAGTAATGCCTTCTATCTTTCATTCGACTGCGGTCCCCTCACTATAGTTGCTGTAACGAAGCAGAATTAACTCCGTGCTAAGCTGTAAGTGTGCCCGTGTGCTTAGTCACTCAGTCGTGTCCCACTCTTTACGACCCCGTGGACTGCAGCCCGCCAGGCCCCTCTGTCCCTGGGGATTCTCCAGGCAAGAATGCTGGAGTGGGTTGCCACGCCCTCCTCCAGGGGATCTTCCCAACCCAGGGATCAAACCCAGGTCTCCCGCACTGCAGGCAAATCCTTTACCATCTGAGCCACTGGGGAGGCCCCAGTTTCAAGGAGCTAAATAGCACCAAATAATTGAAGGCCAGGAGTTTTCACACAAGTTTTCACCCTTCATTTGCCTCTGAAATATTTCTGTAGCATTAGAGAACAGACTGAACATTATTAATAAAAGTCAAGCTTTGTCCATCCCTGACCAGCACCTTCTCTCTGCTCAATGCAGCCTCCCTCAAATTGCTAAGCTGGTCATTCAAAATAGTCCCTTTCTTCATTTACTTGAATTGTTGGCTCAAGGAAGCCAACAGATGCAATATCACATTGTGAGAAGCTTGGAGGACTTTCTGATAAATGTGGTGGATTAAACACGTGCATTTATATCCACTTTGATTTGAAACTTTGCTAAAATGGGATTTACAGGAAAAGAGGTATCAGTAGAAAAGGAAAAACAGGAGAGCAGAAAACAACCTTTTTGAAAACTAGAAAGTAGGTGAAATTAATAAAGAATGAATGTGACGTGCCTGCGGGGAAGGACAGGAAGGCAGAGCAATTCCTGTCGGGTCCCCCAGAATGGGCTACATGACATATGGGATACATATGTACTGAGAAGGCTGCGAGGGGGTGAAAAGGGAGATCTGGTACTGGCAATAGACTGGGTAAAAATCACACATGGGTCTGAATCATGAGGTTATTAACAGAATGAGACATCCTAATTCCTGTTATAGTTAGATTTTACTTCTTTCAGTCAAGGAGATTAGGCTTGGAAAATAATGGAACTCAAAGATCTAAACTCTATTTTCCTAGAACTTTCTACTATTTCTCTCCCTAGCCTCTAACTCTCCTCCATCTCCTCCTCCTTTGACGACATAAGATTTTTCCCTCCACCTGCTTCACAAACGGGATGAAGACAGAAGCCAATCACATACCACTAAATGTGCAGTTTTACTAAATAGTAAAGCATACAAACTATAGTACTTAATACATAATGTCTGAAAACATTAGTCCCCTTCCCTTTACCCCAGGTACCGAGTTTGATGTCTTTCTACATAACTCCACAATTAGTCCACACCCTTACTTCTAAGGAGAGAGTGAAGGCAAAATGCAGCTCACGACGAGGAGGAGCACATAAAAGGCAACACTTTCCTAGAAGAGCAGTGGGTCTCACACTTGAACACACACCAGTCACTTGGAGAGTGTGCCAAAGCACAAACTTGCGGACCCCACTTCCCAGTGTTTCTCACCAGGAGGTCTGGGGTAAGTGCCATGCATAACAACTCCCTGGTGGTGTTAATGCCGCCTTGTTCACAGGTCACAGTACTGAGAAGCACTACCCACGGAGCACACGTTATCAAGGGAAGGCAAGTCTGCCTCTTGGGGAAGAGGCCGTGACTGTGTGTCCTCAGGGGGAGGAGGCCGTGAGTGTGTGTCCTCAGGAGAAGGAGGCCGTGAGTGTGTGTGTGTCCTCAGAGGAAGGAGGCCGTGAGTGTGTGTGTCCTCAGGAGAAGGAGGCCGTGAGTGTGCGTCCTCAGGAGAAGGAGGCCGTGACTGTGCGTGTCTTTGGGAGAAGGAGGCTGTGAGTGTGTGTATCTTCGGGGGACAGGAGGCAGTGAGTGTGTGTATCTTCGGGGGACAGGAGGCAGTGAGTGTGTGTATCTTCGGGGGACAGGAGGCAGTGAAGATAAGTATTTTGGGGTGTTGCAACCTGGAGGGGTGAGAGGGAGAGGTAACACTGGCATCTGATATGCACAGACCAAAGACGCTACAAAACACCCTTCCACATACAGGACAGCCCCACACAGCAAAGAACTATGGGGCCAAAAATGTCAATAGTGTCGAGGGTGAGAGATCTTACCACAGGGTAAAAGAGAATTTACTCCAAATATATGATCTGACCATTGTGCTGGTGAAAGGTTTTCAGCGAGTTTCAGTAATCTGACATGGAATAAACATGCAAAGAACTGTGTTTTTCTTCAAATATTGGTAACTCGGAATTTTACTCATCCATGACAAAATGAAGTTTTAAAAATAACTAATACTTACAAGATATACGGCACTACAGAAAGAAATAACCATTTATTTACATAAGGTTATTGGTAGATTTCCAGTAAAGAAACATAAGTTAACGTTCATCTTGCAAGAGTAGTAAGAAAACTAGTTATAATAAAAGACTAATAACTTCCTTGAAAAATAAAATGATCAGTTGTATTTATTTCCTAAGATAAATCAAAAGCAAACAACTATTCATTTTGCTATAATATATATTTAATGTAAAGGAAATACTTTATTTTATAATGAACCATTTGTTTTAAGGAAAAGCTGATTATAGCACTAATCAATCCTAAGTAGACATATCTAAGAAAACTGTACTTTATATATACATGCATGTGTGTACATGGATATACATAGATACATGTACATGTATACACATACACACACACACACAGAGACAAATATACTTACTCCAGTGGGCTGGAAAATAAGTCCATCCATTTCATGGCTGACTTCTTTGGCAAAATTTCCTTCAAGTAGCTATAAAATAAACATATATTTTTACAAATATAATAATCAACACAAAAAGTCACTTTTAAAGTTTTTAAACTTTTTGTAAGCTTTATAAGAACTTAATAAATAAGCTTTAAAAACTGAAATACAAAATAGGGGAGAAGGGTGATCCAGAGGGATCTAGGCTAATATACTGTAAGATTCTTTTTTTAATATATGAAGACTTCCATTTCATGGCAGGCTAGATATCTCAAACAACAGTCCTAACTGCAACAACCAAAATGATGGTAAAATATTCCAAATGTATTTTTCCTTGTTCTAGTTTTACTCAGACACAAGTGACGTACAGCTCTGTATGACTGTGGGGTGTGCAGCACTGTGATGTGACTTACACACATCATGAGATGATTACCACAATAAGCTTAGTGACCATCTATCATCTAGTGTAGATACCAAATAAAAATGCGTTTTTCCCTTGTGGTAAGAATTTAGGATTTATTCCTAATAACTCTCACATGTAACACACAGCAAGACTGAGCCTTAACTGTGTTGGACATTATATCCCTAGCTCTCATTTATCTTACAAAGGTGGGCAAAAAGCACCAATTTCCAGCTATAAAACATATTTTTTAATTCACCATGCTAAGCAGCATAAACGGAGCAAGACAGGAGGCCAAAACCAAAATGACTGCAGAAACTCTGGGAAGTGATAAATAAAGGGAATAAAAACAAGAGCGTCTACAAAGGAAGAGAGCGGAAGATCTGCCTGGGGACAGGCGGAGGAAGAGCAAGATGCTCTGAGCATCTGTAACTGCAAGTTAAGCTCACCTGGGGACAGGCGGAGGGAGAGCAAGATTCTCTGAGCATCCGTAACTGCAAGTGAGCTCACATACGGGGACTGTGCTTTCAAAGGGCATTATCTGTGTTTTCCGCAAAACCTCAAGCAGAAAACTTAACCTTTCTTTCTGTCCTACTTTTGCCTCATTTTTTGTCTTTATTGTATTTTTTTTTCAAGCAAAAAATTGCACTACAAGGAATACACACCATGAAATACAAACAACAGTTTTTTCAATGCCATATCTACTGAAAAGCAGAGTTATAGGCCCAATGCTCTCTAATTAATTCTGAACAATTGTTTTAAATGCTTCTCTTCCACAGACTTATTATTCTGAAAAACTGAACATGTGCATCACTGATGAAGGACCTAAACACTGATTTCTGCACCTTAGGAAAGAGAAGAGAAGATACTTTCATAGAGCCAGGTAAAAACTCTGTTACCCAGAGTCTTGCCAAATGACATAACATTTAGGAGAGTTCTAGGATTGAAATATATTCCACCAAAATTTTGGATCTGCTGTGTGTTACCCAATCAAAATCCTTCATCACAATCACATCCTCTTAAAGCCGCTACACTGAAACGGAGACTTGGACTCCAAAAGTGATGAGCAAGATTCCCAGTGTGTTTCACACACCACGAGATCTGTGGTTCTCTCCCCAAACTGTGACTTCATCTTCCCTGCCATTTCAGTCCTTGAAATCGGCAATTTCTCTAGACTGGAAGCAGTTCAGCAAAGAAAATTAAGAGCTATCCTACTTTTTAACTGCTTTAAGACCAATCTGAGTTTGAATAACTTACATTTCCTTAAAACTGTAAAGTTCTTTAGTCGAGTTCATGGGAACAGAAATCAGAGAGGCTGAGGGGGAGGGGAAAATGAGGCAGTAGTGTTTGATGGGTACAGAGTTTCAGTATGGAAAGATGACAAAGATCTGGAAATGCATGATAATGATGGTTACACAACAATGTGAATGTACTTAATGTCACTGACATGTATGCTTAGACATGGCTAATCAGTCAACTTTATGCTATGTATATTTTACCACATTTTTTTTTCAACAGTAATGTTCTTGGTGTTTTCTTTCTTGTGTGTTTTGTTCTTTCCTCTTACTGTAACATTAAGACAGTGGGGAGCCTGCAGTGGGACTCTTAGAGCCATATGACCTGGAATTTGGCAGAACAGGTAAAAATCTCAGGACAGATGTGAAACTGATCTCTAATTCATTCATAGGTTTAAATGACCTAGCCATGTCAGGAGGAAATTTGCCTAAGTAAAAATTCAATATGGATTAAAAGTACTGACTTTTTATAATGAACTAACTAATGGGTAGAGGTTCATATAAGAAAAAGATGTATAATAATGATACATCTTGTACTTCATCACGCAAGAAAAGGTAACCTATTAAATTCATAGCACAAATACTGCTGAGGAATGAAGCAATGAAAACAAAATGCCACAATCATCTTTTTAAAAAGTGTTTTTTAAAGGTTAAACAATTTGTTCTTTTACTGCAGGTACATCATTTATGATACATAAACATAGCTTTTCTATTCTTAGAGCATATTTCTCCAATTCATATGTTGGATTATCCGTGTAGATAAAGTATATGTTGACAAGACTCTAGATAACATGATGCTACCTCCTGCAGAAATGGAAGTAACTTCCTTTTTAATTTTACTCTAACTTTTTAAGAATTAAGAGAATTTAAGGGACTATGAAGCTTCTTAGATCAAAAGAAGAAATACTGTTTTCACCCATTTTACTCCCTGTTGATTACTCTAGACAATATTTCTTTCTTTATTTAATAATGTACAGTGTCACTTATTATATATTAAAAGACCTTTATAGTTATAAAGGTCTTTATAACTATAAAGTATAAACACTTTATACTTTATATAAAGTTTATATACTTTATATAGTTTATACACTTTATAAAGCACAAACGCTTTATAGTATATAGTGTGTGTATATATATATATATATATGTATATATACCCCTCATGAGGTATATAATTTTGAATTTTGTATTATTATTCATTTCACCAGAAAATGCAACTGAGGCCATCAGAAATTAAGCGAATAGCTTCAACTCGCTGGAAAAGACCCTGATGCTGGGAAAGACTGGGGCAAGAGGAAACGGGGACCACAGAGACGGTCGGATGCCATCACCGACTCAGTGGTCATGATGCAGACTCTGGGAGACAGTGAAGGACAGGAAAGCCTGGTGTGCTGCAGTTCATGGGGCCGCAAAGAGTCGGACACGACTCAGCAACAAACAGCAACAGCAGCAGCAGCGTCAACTCAGACAGCTAACAAAGTAAACTCCTTCAGAACACAGTTTTAGACTTTAATTAAACATAAGGAAATAACCAAAGAAAGTCTCTGACTCTCTAAAACAAATGCCCTAAAGACTTCTGAAACTGCCCACATACATGTTCCAATCATCATTTAAAACTTACAGACTTTAAGTGTACCATAGTACATGCTACATGAATAAGATACATACAAAGGGAGATAAAATTCTTGAGGTGGAGGGAATTATTTTTTAGGGATAAAAATTTTAATATATATAACAAACTTACATAATTCACTTATTATTCATATTAGAAATCAGGTATGTAAAATAATGTTAAATTTAAAACATTGCTTTTCTGGGTCTCCAAACTCATTACGAGCATCTTCTGTACCGCAGTGCCATCATCACTGGAGCCAACGCTTGCGTCACCGAGTGCACCAGTGCACTGCCATTACTCTCACTGGCGTCTCTGAGTTACAGCATGCTTCAGTTCACGCAGGAGGCTATTACTGCAGACGTTATCTCAAGCTACAGGTGCTAACTTAATAACACATTAGAAAAGTCCCCTCCCCAACGATCCCTTAGGTTTGTACTCATTTTCCTGAAAGTGTTCAGCATCTTTAAGGTTATCTTTAAAAAGCTAGTTTATGGAAAAGTTCCACTTTTACTTACAATGTAAAAGTTGTCTAACCTGACAATAAATTTTTAAAAAGCAGGCAATCTGCAAAATCATAGCTTTTGTTAAGGCCATCAGCAGACTGAGGTGTTCAGGAAACCAAGTAAACTGAATTCCAAGCCCTCCAAAGAAAGATGAAATACATCTTTCACTTTTGGAAGAGCATAAGAGGAAAAATGGGAAGTCATAAAAGCAGGTATAAAGAAAACCTGAAAAATTTGGCAGAACAGGTAAAAATCTCAGGACAGATGTGAAACTGATCTCTAATTCATTCATAGGTTTAAATGACCTAGCCATGTCAGGAGGAAATTTGCCTAAGTAAAAATTCAATATGGATTAAAAGTACTGACTTTTTATAATGAACTAACTAATGGGTAGAGGTTCATATAAGAAAAAGATGTATAATAATGATACATCTTGTACTTCATCACGCAAGAAAAGGTAACCTATTAAATTCATAGCACAAATACTGCTGAGGAATGAAGCAATGAAAACAAAATGCCACAATCATCTTTTTAAAAAGTGTTTTTTAAAGGTTAAACAATTTGTTCTTTTACTGCAGGTACATCATTTATGATACATAAACATAGCTTTTCTATTCTTAGAGCATATTTCTCCAATTCATATGTTGGATTATCCGTGTAGATAAAGTATATGTTGACAAGACTCTAGATAACATGATGCTACCTCCTGCAGAAATGGAAGTAACTTCCTTTTTAATTTTACTCTAACTTTTTAAGAATTAAGAGAATTTAAGGGACTATGAAGCTTCTTAGATCAAAAGAAGAAATACTGTTTTCACCCATTTTACTCCCTGTTGATTACTCTAGACAATATTTCTTTCTTTATTTAATAATGTACAGTGTCACTTATTATATATTAAAAGACCTTTATAGTTATAAAGGTCTTTATACTATAAACACTTTATACTTTATATAAAGTTTATATACTTTATATAGTTTATACACTTTATAAAGCACAAACGCTTTATAGTATATAGTGTGTGTATATATATATATATATATGTATATATACCCCTCATGAGGTATATAATTTTGAATTTTGTATTACTATTCATTTCACCAGAAAATGCAACTGAGGCCATCAGAAATTAAGCGAATAGCTTCAACTCGCTGGAAAAGACCCTGATGCTGGGAAAGACTGGGGCAAGAGGAAACGGGGACCACAGAGACGGTCGGATGCCATCACCGACTCAGTG